GTCAGTGCTTGGTAATACTTTCCACTATGATGGAAAATAAGTAACAGATAATAGTGGGGTTAAGACCTTGCTGCTTCTTATCAAGTAATGGCTGGTTTACTTGCCTCTGCCTCAGACAGAGGAATAATGCCTGCTGAATGAATACACAAACGTGGTGCTGTAGGAGAGGTTCACAGGGACTGGAGAGGGAAAGCGACGCATGAATAACCTTGAAGGGTTTGGTCTCAGCCTCCCTGGGATCCCAGGGCATTTTACCATTCTGACCATAATTAGCTGTTGGTGTGAGACTCCCACTCATGTGAGCTCTAGCCCACCCAGCGGCTGTCTCCAGGTTGCCCAGGCGCCCCGCACCACAGGGAACCCTAGCCCTGCCCGGCTGTACCCTTTACCTCTTCTTGGAGCGGTCCTTCCACACCCGGCCCGACTTGGGCTTTCCCTTCGGGATTTCAGGAACCTCCTCCTTCAACTTCTTGGACGAAGGGGCCTGGGCTGAAGAACCTTCTTTCTTCTTTGCTCCGAAGCCGCTTTTCACCGTTTCCCCGGCCGGAGGTGGTTTGCTTGGCTTCTGCTGACTCTGAGGGGAGTCGGGTGGCTGAGGTGTCAACTCCTGTAGTGGCCGCGACGGCTCCGGACCCGGTGCTTGCTGACCGGCGCAAGGCTCTGGGGATCCGGGGCCCGGCTGCAGCTGATGTTGAGGGGACCCCGGGGCCAGCTCCTCACTCTGCGCCAACTCCGAGTCCTGTTCTATTCGGCTCTGGGAGACCTTTGGTGACTCCCCACACGGCTTTGGCTGACACCGGGGGGACTCTGGACTCCACTCCGGCTGTCTTCGGGAAGACTCCTGGTCTGAATATTGCTGAAGCTGGGGGTACCCTGGGCCCGGCTCTGGCTCCCTTCTGGGGGACCCCAAGCCTGCACCCTGCAGCAGACTAGGTGATCCGGGGCCTGCGTCTGCTTGGCGTCGGGGGAACTCTAGGCCGGGTTGCCTCACACTCCAAGGAGATGCGGGTTCCCTCGTTTCTTCTGTATTTGACTCGAGCTCCACAAGGGCCAGATTGGCCCGCGACACTGAGGTGGGGCTCTCGGGGGATTCAGGCTTTAGGCGTTCCAGCCGCCGGCTGCGCCTCAGCGGTGTATCCATAGCCTGGTCTGAAAATTTCCAGATCCCAACCCACGTGTAGCCTCCGCAGCCGCCTCGGAGTCCACCGACGCTGTCCTATGACGTCAGAAGTGCGTAGCAGGAGGGCTGGTGCCGGGTCGGCCATGTTCGTGACGGGCGGAGAGGCGGGGTCGACAGCCCGAGCGGGCTGGGCTTCCTGGCGCAGGCGCAAAGTGCTCTGGCTC